GGTTACTGGGGGGTTATTGGGGGGTTACTGGTGGTACAGGGGAGTTACTAGGGGTTACCGGGGGGTTGCAGAGGGGGTTCCAGGGGGTCATCGAGGGGGGTAATGGGGGCTACTAGGGGGTAATGGGGAGTACTGGAGGTTACAGGGGGTTACCGGGGGCGATAATAGCGGTTACAGAGGGTTACAGGGGGGTACCGGAGAGTTACTGGGAGTTACCGGGGCGTTACCGGAGGGTATGGAGGGGTTACCGGGGGTTATTGGGCAGGGTTATTGGGAACCGGGCTAAGCCACAGCAGCGACCCTCCACCCTCATGGGGAGGGCCGCCCAGGCCTCAGCCCCGGTCCCGGTGCACCGGGGGCGGAGCCGCCGCCGTCCGCGCTCCCGCCGCCGCCCCCCCGCGTAGTCTCGCGGTACCTGCGGGTGCCGGTGCGAGCCCCCAGCCCCCGTTCGATTCCGATTTGTACCCGGTTGGGTCCCGCTTCGACCCCGGCGCCGCAGCCGCCTCCCGCGCCCCGCCGCTGGCCCGGCCCCTCCTGCCCTGCAGCCAATCACAGGGTGTCTCCCCTCCCCAGCTCCGCCAATCACCACGAGGCTCCCCCAGCCCTACCCAGCCAATCACCGCCTGGAGCAGCGCTGCCCAATCGCCGCGCGGCATCCCACAAGAGGGGGCGGGACCTAACGGGGAAAAAAGCGGCCAATCCGCGGCGCGGAGGAGAGAGGAGCCAATCAGAGAGCAGAGTGGCGACGAGAGCCCGCCCACCGTGTGTGAGTGACGTGAGAGGCGGTCAATGAGCGACGCAGACGGGGGCTGCACGTGGCGCCCCACGGTGTCCCCCCGTGTCCCGTAGGTCGGAGCCGGGATCGCGACGCTGACCCCAAAACCGGCTTTATTTCCCTTAAAATGCAGACGAGGACACCCCGGCATCCACCCCCCGCCGCACCCCGGGGCGTGGGACAGCGTGGGGAGGCCCCCCGGGAACACCTATGGGTGACGGCACAGCCACGCGTGAGCCTCCCACCCCGAGTTCTAGGGGGTCCCAGGGGAGGGGTCAGAGATAGAGGAGGGGGCACCTGCAGGTGACAGGGCACCCATGGGTGATGAAGCCTCAACAGGTGATGGGGCACTCACAGGTGATGGAGCACCCAGGGTTGAAAGGGCACCCACAGGAGCCATGGCAGGTGATGGGGAACCCACAGGTGATGGAGCGCCCACGGATGACGGAGCCTTGACAGGTGACAGGGCACCCACAAGTGATGGAGCCTTGGTGGGCACCAACAGGTGACAGAGCCTCACCAGGTGCTGGGGCAACCACAGGTGACAATCTCAACAGGTCCCTCCATGGGGCACCTCCAGGTAATCCTGGGTGCCCACGGGTACAGGGGTGGTCCCAGAGGTCCTGGACCCCTGGGGTCAGGTTTGTGGGTGTAGGGGTGGTCCTGTACCCTCAGGGTCAGGTCAGTGGTGCAGGGATGGTCCTGGACCCCTGGGGTTGGGTTCGTGGGTGTAGGGTTGGTCCCGGTGGTCCCGGACCCCCAGAGTCAGGTCAGTGGTGCAGGGGTAGTCCCGGTGGTTCCAGATTCCCGGGTCGAGCTCAGCAGGTGCAGGGGTGGTCCCGGTGGTCCCAGACCCCCGAGTGGGGCTCAGCGGGTGCCCGCGGGGGCTTCGGTGGCATCAGGGGTGAAGAGCTCTCTGTAGAGGGGGGGGAAGCCGGCCGAGACCCCCCCGGGGTGGAGGCGGCAAAAGGCCTGGAGCTGCTCCACATGCTGCGAGCACAGAGCCCGCAACCGGCCCGGGGGAGGGAGCTGGGGGGGCACGGCCGTCACTCGCCTGGCACACACCTGGCACGTGCCTGGCATGCAGGTGACATGCCTGGCACACACCTCCACGTTCCCCCTACACCCTCCCTCGTCCCCCCAGCACCTCCCTGGCCCCCCCCATGCCCCTTCCTGACTCCCCCACCCCCA